AAAGAAATACGTGCACGACCCAAGCCACGTGCTACAACCCGAGGTCGTGGACCTCGACGAGTCTCTAGCATACGAAGAAAGACCCGTAACAATCCTGGACACCAAGACAAGAACCACCCGTCGTCGGGCCAAAGAAATGGTAAAAGTCCGCTGGACCAACCATGGGACCGAAGAAGCAACATGGGAACTCAAGGACATAATGAAGGAACGCTACCCGAACTCTTCACACCAGGTAACCAAGAGGGAGTCGCCCGAGAAGAACCAAGCTTCGGGGACAAAGCTTCCCGTTAAGGGGGGGGAGAGTGTAACACCCCGTGTTACGACCCCTAAAACCAATTAATCATTTAACCAATTATCCAAAGAAAGAATTAAATTACAATAATTAATTAGGGAAAAGGCCCACCGTGGTCCATAGGCCATCACCCCTAAAGCCCAACCCCTAGCCCTAAAAGGAATAGAATTAGCAAGCCTATAATATTAGTTCCTAATTAGGACTCCAAAATATATAAATAGGGGACTTAAGAGGCACCTAGAACCCCCCAGCACAATAATCCCTCACCACAAAAGAAATTCCAAGAATTCCCCTAGGAGAAATCAAGAAAGAAGAAAGCTTCAAGAAAGACCCTTCATAGCCACAGAATTAATTAAGGCTAAAAGGTAACCCATGTCTCAACAAAACCTATTTTCATAGCTATGATTCCCCTCTTAGGATTTCCCCCATATTCTTGTGTGTTGATGATTCGCTATAATGATCTAGATAATTGGTGTTATGATTCCATGGGTGATCTTGACGATAAGAGGTTCTTGATGATTATATGGTGTTCTTGATGATTATATGATGTTCTTGATGTTTATATGATATTTCTATCGAATCTTGATATTATAAGATGAATTGTGTTCTTGTTGATTTAAAAATAATTAGAACCCTAGGTTATATCGTGGAATTCGTATGGTATTATTCTTGGTAGAATGGGTGGGAATTTGTATGTTTGGGTGTTGATTATGTTTAGAAAAGCATGATAGGTTATGTGCCGTATGTTTCTTGATTTTGATCCGTTAATTGCCTACGTGTGTTATCAATTGCGTTTGAAAGTGTCTAAGCATGGTTCCAGGTTCCACGGTAGATCCCGGGGCATTTATTTGTGAATAAGAGTCAGTGGGGGGTAGGTGTGGGTAGGGGACCCGCCACCTACCGCCGGGCACCCGTTGCCCGGAATAGTTGCCGCCTGCGGGCAGCCGGCGGGTGAACCCTCACCCACCGGCTACCCGCTAGTTTGTATCCCACCTTGGGATTTTGGCTTCCCCGTTTGATGTTCCCCCGATCCCCGTGGCGTCCCAACGGACTCCGTCTATCGTGCCTATGTCTAGTTTGATATTTCGGGTACCGTTCGTAGGTTGTATGGGCCTTATATATTGCATGCTAGTTGAATTGGTATCCCGTTGACCTAGGTGAAAGAAGTATGAACCCCTTAGGATTATTCTTAGTATGTGAAGGATCACGCATAGGTTTTGTTATACGTTTTCTCCCCCTTCCCAATATGTTAATGTGGGTTGCATGTGCTTGCTATGTGTTATATGTGCATGATACCCCAATTTGGTTGCGATCAAATTGGCTGTTGATAAACATTATTTTTATTGCAGTTTTTAATAATTTTTTTATAATTAAATTGTAAAAGTTAATTAATTTTATATCTAATTTTATTTATTATTTCTATAAGTAGTTTTTATAAATATTGTTAATTTTTAGAGTTGTTTTTGTTATTAAGTTAATTTTGTTAATAAATTTGTCCAATAATTTCCTAATCCAATTTAATTAGTTTATTATTATTATTATTATTATTATTATTATTATTATTATTATTATTATTATTATTATTATTATTATTATTATTATGTTTAGCTATTAAAATAGGTTAGTCAATCGCTTCCCAAATAATAGATCGGATGACCGACGATAAACGACAGAGAGAGATGCGCAGGTTTTTGCGGCCTCGGCTAAAGAAGCACCGAACGGCGTGGATCATGGACGAGGTTGGTCTTCGTGGAGGGCGATTGAATAGACAAGCTTTGAACGAATGAAAGGCTCTCCAATGGCTGTCCCTGGTTCACGCTCTCTTCCGGAATTTATGCCAAAGGAGTCCGGCGATGTCTGCGTGTAGGAATCGGAGGTGTGGTTGATGCTATACCAGTATTAAAGAGGGAGATTCTGAAGGAGGAAGGTATCAAATTGCACCGGGAAGGATTTCCGGTCAGCAGTGTAGTTCTTCCGGCCAGCGGCGTTAACATGGACGGAGGTGTTGTTTGAGCTCGGCGGCTACGAAAGCAATCCTGGGTAATTAACTTCAATCTGGTTCGCAGCTTACGTGCATGGTTTCTCCTCCTCTTTCTTCAATTATTCCTGTTGTTTAATTCACCTGTTCAATTCATAACTTTCTTCAATGATGTTTTCTTGTTTCAATTACAGTTGGCCGCATAATACTTTGTAATTCAATTTATTGGTTCATGAATGTTCTTCAACTCATTATTTGCAAATCATTTTGTTAATTTCTCATTTTCCAATTTTCCAATTCGTGAGCTGTGGGTTGTGTGTCTCTTGTGTCATCAATTTTCAATTTCAAAGCATTGTTTCAATTAATCAATATTCAAATTCTAAGTTTAGTTGTTGTTCATTTTAATTATTGATCTCGATTACTGATTATAACAAAGTGCTTTATTAAATTGTCTAATTCTAGGTACGTGAATTGTTTATCATAAATATTTTGCATTAATTTATTTAATTGGTTGACAAGTTAAGCTAAAATACATAATTAGTAATGGTTTCTGACTCGTATTCCTAGACTTTTTCAGTTGGTTTGGTTTCTACTTGGTTTAATTTTATTGCTTTAACTTCTTGAGTTTTATTGATTGTTAAATGTGACATTTTACTTCAGTACTTTACACTATCCAGTCATTTATTTTTTTAAGTTTAGTTATTAAATTGCATCGTATCAATGCCTTGTGGGATCGACCCTTGCTTTGCATGCTAAAACTACAATTGACTCGTGCACTTGCGAGGACATTATTTAAAATTGTCTAACAGCTATACGGGCAGTTGGATGGGTTGACAACCATACTGACTGTTAACCAGGCCGGTTGCGATCGGTCAGGTATATATATATTATATAGGGCTGCGGTCCACCGTTTGGTTGCGATCAAATGGATTATACGGGCAGTCGGATGGGTTGAGAACCATACTGACTGTTAACCAGGCCGGTTGCGATCGGTCAGGTATATAAATATTATATAGGGCTGCGGTCCACCGTTCTACATGAGCTGTGGTTCATTTTCCTGGCTGCGGTCAGATGACATACTCTTGGGCTGCGGTCCACTGCTTGGTTGCGATCAAACTATGATGAGCTGCGGTTCATCGGTCGGTTGCGATCGACCCCTCCGTATTGTGAGACGGGGCAGGGTGCTGCGGAGCCGTGTCAGAGCTATATGCGCTGACCCTCATGTATGGGCATGCGATTGGTCCTGTGGCGCCAACAAAGTGTGCTTATGTGATGAGATATGGATGAGTTGTGATTATGAGTATCTGGGGATGTGACTACGGGATTTACGTTGGCGATTGTTTATGTTGGGTTATGATCATTGATTATGCTCAGCCTTATCTACCCTGCCTGTTGCGAACTATATATGCTTGCTATAACTGTCGTTTGTGCTTAGCTCTATGTGTCGAGTCTATCCTTGTTTTAAAAGCTAGAGTTCGTAGGATATATCTTCATGTTCAAAATGGTTTTCGTATATCTATATATATCTCTATATGTATTATATTTCAACGCGTTGGAGTGGGTTATCAGCATCTCTCGCTGAACAGATATATTTGGCTTTCAGGCACAGAAGAGTAGACACTGGACGCGCTAGAATCATTGAGCATAGAAGTAGATAGTTTCCCTTTCGGCCTGCGTGCCACGGTTATGCATTTACTTTGTTGAGGATATTAGTTAGTTAGCCTGTGCACATGAGTTCTCTAGCTCAAGTGTGGCATAGCACCCCGTACTCTTTATATTATGTTTTGGGATTTAATGAGATTTTACCTTCTTTATATAAGTTACAAAAGTTTTAAAAATCTAGGGTGTTACAATTCCCAAGTCTAAAAATTGTTTTTCTATATCTAAAGAATGATGCCAGTTCGACTCAAGTGTGGCATTATTCGCTAACGGTTGCTATACCGCATGTTTTTTAGGTACACATTAGTTGGCTCGTGAGCGCGCTAGTCGGAGCTGCGGTTCCTCGTTTAGATAGTAGTTAGCTTTAGATGATGGCCTGTGAGCCGGTTTTGTATACGGATAATGCTTATAGATTATGTTTAGTTAGTTAGCCTGTGCATTTAGGTTCTCAAGCATAGATGTGGCATAGCACCCCTATACTTTTATGTTTGGCTTTCACTTATTTGGCTATTAATGATAGACATGTTCTTATTTCGTAAGCTTTCATGGTTTTAAAATATGCTGGAAATAAGGGGTGTTACAGTTGGAATCAGAGCCTAAGTTCGACCCTAAGTTAATGACTTTAGGATAATGGGTGTTACAGTTGGTACCAAGAAACCGTGCAAGGACCCCTGAGATGCCTACTAACGAATAGTTGACTCAGAACTTGCATTAGTTAACTCAAATCGCCCAGGCACTGAGTAACAACCTCCTTAACAACAACAACCGTCCACCATCGAACGGGAACCACGATGTAGCCCGCCAAGTGTCAAACCATCGCCACCTATCTTAGTTGGGGAAGAAGATCCCGCGACACTCGAAGAATGGATTCGAATGTTCGACAAAATTTTTGAAGTAGTTGGATGCCCGGAGGAACGTTGAGTCGAACTGGCATCATTCTACTTTGGGCACGAGGCCGACTTATGGTAGGTAGATGAAGGTCCGATCTATAGACAAGAACCGGGTTTCAACTGAGAAATCCTAAAGACCAAGCTGCGAGAATGCTTTTACGTCGCGCACGTAAGAGCGGCCATGTATGAGGAGTTCGTTCACTGGAAACAGGGAATCACTATGGTGGTAGAATACCACAACAGATTCCTAGAACTATCTCGTTTCGCATATGTGTTAGTACCTACGAAGGCAACTAAGGTAGAGAAATTCATTGATGGGCTCAACTTTGAGGCTAGGAAAGCCTTAACCGTAAGCAAACCAAGGACCCTCAACGAAGCCTATACCAGCTTTACAGATCTCTACCGGATCCAACTGTTGCAACAGGGAGTCCAAGAACATGTGAGGAGGAGGAATGACGAAAGTGGAGGCCCTAACCCCAAAAGAGCAAAGAGTGATTCCAACATAAAGACGACATATCGGCAGGCCCAAGACCCGCCTAGAGGAAACAACGAAGGCAAGGGAAGGTACTTCCTGTGCAAGAGATGTGTCAAGGACCACCCAGAGAAGGATTGCCAAGGGAACGCCGTGGTGTGCTACAATTGTGGGGGGAAAGGCCATAGTTCCTTTGAGTGTAACCAACCCGCACGTGCAACACCACCGGCCACCGGGCAACAAGAAAATACGAACAACCGAGGGGGCTACGGAGCACCCGGGGAAGTATTTATCATGAGCTGCACTCAAGCCGATGCCGAAGCCGGATTCGGAACCGAAGTCGAGGACGACACCGAAGCCATAGCCTTAGGAGACGAGGACCATACAGGTAACCCTTTTAATCAATCCTCGCTGCCAAAGAACTTTTACCTTGTGCAGTTCTTTGATTCTTCTTATTTTGAGTAGAGTTAATTATCGAATCCAATTGGATTGATTCCATGTTCCGCTCTTCGAGCTAATTAGAGTAATTATTCGTGCCCTTTTGAATTATGAGACCGCGAAAATAATACGTGATAAATCTAAGGATACAACTAGGTGGTTCGAGTTAGAGTTTTTAACCCTGCCCTAAGGCAAAAAATGGTAAAACTCTGGGAGACATAAGGAAGTCAAACCAAAAACCCTAGAAAGAACTAAGTTTAACTCGGGATACTCAAACCATAAACTTTCCATTTTCAAGCCCAAGATGTTAACCATTATACCATAAGTGCTTCTTGAAACCCAAGGGATACAAAACGTTTTTAACCCCCACTCCAAATTCCGAAAATCCCAAAATCCCCAAATCAAAAACTCTTCCTTCTTCTCCCACTCTTTCCCTCTCTCATTTTTCCCTCTCTTTCACCGCCCGGCCGAAACCCCCCAAACACCGCCGATCACCAAGCCACCTTCTGTCCACCACCCAACCAACCACCATCGACGGTCCAGCCAAACACCGCCTAGGCACCCTGTAACACCCCGTGTTATGGCCTTCAATCCCGGATTAATTATTTAATTAATTCCGTTAATAATAATTAAAAAGGATTTAATTTGGCTAGGATTCCCTTTAATTAATTAATGTGGTCCACCATGGATCGTGGACCCTTGCCTAAACTAGAATCTTAAGCCTATTAGGAATAAAGAGAGTAAACCTTTTACTAATCAGATCCTAATTAGGAGTCGTAGACCTAATTATCTATTAGGAATGGAGGAAATAGGCTTTACTATTTAGATTTTATAAGAAGGAACCATTAGAACCCTTACCACCACAATTATATTACACAGATGTATTCCCAAGGGGTTCCCCACCACCAAGCCTAGGGAGATCAATCGGATGGAAATTTTAGGGAAGAACCTAAATAGCCAAGGGAGGATTAATTAAGGCTAAGAGGTAACCCATGTCTCAACAAAACATATTTTCTTTGTTATAATCTTCTTCCTTGGCTTCTTCTCTATGCTTGTGTCTTGATAATTCGTTTGTGATAATGATGATATGATCTTGATGATTGATGAGATGATTTTATGTGTTGATCTTGATATCTTGATGATTGTGGGAGAATCTTGATAATTGTGTGTTGTTCTTGATGAATCTTGATGTTCTTGATTTTAAAGATAAAGCCTAATTTTGTGATTTAAATATGATTAGAGCCCTAGGTTGAATCGTGAATTTCGTATTGGGATATTCTTGGTATATTTGTGTGGGAATTCGCATGTTCAGGTATTGATTATGCTTAGAAGTCATGATAGGATATGTTTAATGTGATTCTTGGTTTTGATCTGTTATTTGACTAAGTGATGTAGTCATTCGCGTTTAAAAGTGTCTGACTATGGTTTCGGGTTCCACAAAAGATCCCGGGACCCAAGTATTGAAAAATAGTCAGTGGGGGGTAGGTGGGGGTAGGGGGACCCGCCACCTACCCGCTACCCAAATAGACGTCGCCGGCAGCGGGCAGACGACTGCCCGACGGGCACCCGCTGCCCGGAGGTTCGTCGCCGGCCACCCGCTGGATTTTTCCCACCTTGGGATGTTGGCTTCCCCGTTTGATGTTCCCCGTCCCTCGTGGTGTCCCGACGGACTCCGTTTATCGTGCCTAAGTCTAGTTTAATGTTTCGGGTACCGATCGTAGGATAAAAGAGTCTTGTTTATTGCATGCTAGTTGAATTGGTACCCCGTGGACCTAGGTGAAAGATGCATGAACCCTTAAGATATTTCCTAGTACGTGGATGACCACACATAGGTTTCTTTATACGTTTTCTCCCCCTCCCCAATGTGATAATGTGGGTTGCATGTGTTTGCTATGTGTTATGTGTGCATGATTCCCCAATATTGGCTGCGGTCAAATTGGTTATACATGAGTTGCGGTTCATAATCCTGGCTGCGGTCAGTGACACACTTTTAGGGCTGCGGTCCACCACATGGGCCTCGTGTGCTGTGGTCCACCGATTGAACGCGTCAGCGGTGTGCAGTGCTATAAGCCACGAGGAAGACCATAGTCCACCGACTGAGTACATCACCGGTGTGTAGGGCTATGGTCGACTACGATCCACTAGCTGAGCTCGTCAAGCGGTGTGTAGGGTCGCAGTCCCCAAAAGAGGATTATTGTCCACTGACTGAACGCGGCAGTGGTGTGTAAGACTGTGATCCGCCATTGAATCCATCGACGGTCTATGCAAATTGGCTGCATCAATTCCTTCATGCTGCGGAATGAGGTAGGGTGCTGAGGGGCCGTGTTAGCGCTATATGCGCTAACCCTCATGAATGGGCATGCGATTGGTCCCGTGGCGCCACCAAAGTATGCTTGTGTGATACTGATATTGATTGAATGATGATATGAATGATATGAAAGTAATCTGTGACCTTAGATACATATATATATGATGTTGTCTCTATCTGGCGAGTCTAATCCTGGTTTTAAAGCTAGAGTCTCCTAAGTATATATCTTCCTGCTTCAAAACGGTGTTCCTATATCGAGATATATATATATATATATATATATATATATATATATATATATATATATATTTACCTATATTGTATTTTAACGCGTTAGAGTGGGTTACCAGCATTATTCGCTAAACAGATATATTTGGCTTTCAGGCACAGATGAGTAGACTCCGGAGTGCGCTAGAGATCCGAAGTGCAAATAGTTAGTTTTCTTTTTGGCCTGCGTGCCATGATGATGTATTGACATTGCTATGAGGATATTTAGTTAGTATAGCCTATGCATCTGAGTTCTCCAGCTCAGATGTGGCATAGCACCCGAACACTTATGTTTAGTAATGCTCTGTTTTGGGATTTAATGAGAAATTACCTTTATTATATAAGTTTTAAAAGTTTCAAAAATCTGGGGTGTTACACACCTGCTGCCACCGTTTGATGCCGAGCACCAGCCCCAGCACCGCGACCCACTCGGCCACCGCAATGCCGCAACGCCACAACCGCCGCCCACGCTCTGCCCGTTGTCGACCCGCCCGAACCACCGCTGACACCGCCATCCCACCGAACCACCGAATAACCCCACCGTCAACACACATCGCCGTTGGCCGCCGAAAAATCTTGCTAGAAGCCCTCGCCGGAAATTCTCGCCAGAAAAGCGAGCCCTAATCGCCATCATTACCTAAATTCCTACAATGCCGAGGAGACCCGCTAATGCCCGATGCACGGAATGGAACAACGCGGATTAGACGGTGTTGGAAGGTAAAGCACTCGAACTCGATCAATTCTCTAAAGAATTGATTGATATGCTTAAATTTCAAGGCTTGTTGGGAATGTACTTAGATATAAAATGCGATATGTTCTCGGAGTTGGTAAAGAAATTCTACCACCAAATGGTAGCCATAAAAAATGGGGATGAGTTGGAAATCACCTACAAGGTCCGGGGTGAGAAACTGGTGTTGAGTGAAGCCCAACTGGCTAAACTCCTAAAATTAACCACCACAGGCGTATCAGAATATGACCGAAAATCTTAGATTTGTACTCGCAACTTGGGGTAAGAGAATTAATTGAGTTGTTTGTTAGGAAGGGACGACGGAATCACCATGGCCATGAGGCCAAACAAGAAATGGTTGACCGCCGAGTAAAAGCTCCTAGTGATGCTTGTGACGGACAGTCTATTGCCCAACAATAACAAGAGCAAGGATGTTGGGAGCCTAGAGTGTACCTTTGCTTACTTTGCTTACCTTTGCTTAAATTTGCCCGCCCTTATGTTAAAGCATATGGAGTTCTGCAAATCCAACAATAGGCTAAGCTTGCCCTATGGCATGATCCTAAGCTGGATCATGGTGAAAAAGGGGATAGATGTGAGCCAGTCTGAGGCTAAACCCATAGGCGGGATGATCTTCAATGCCCAAATCCTCCACCGCAACAACATTTACCATTTTGGCGAGGAAAATTACATCACCCTCGAGGAGGTAAGCAAGAAGCCTGTAACCGAGCGGAGATTGTTAATGGAACAATGGCTTATGCTGAACAAGAAAATGAAACAAGTCGTCCAAGGGAACGAAGAAGTAGAAGAGCAAGAGGAGGAAAACAAGGATTCGAGTGACCCGGAGCCCACTCGGAGGGAGGGGGAAACCGAGGAGGAACATGGTAGGATGTCGACCAACGATCGCATCTTGGAGCAAATTAGGAGGCAAAAATGGATCATGGTGGAAGGGTTTTCCTCTTTGAACGTCTCGGTTAGCTCATTGGAGCGAAGGATGTTTGTGGTAGAAACCAGACTCGGCATTCACGGATCGTAAGGAGCCTCTAGCTCGGGAGTTGGGAACAAAGGTAACCTTACTTCAAAACCTTAGCTACCTCTTAACTTGGTTAAATCCTAAGTCTTGCGAGTGTTAGTGAACGTAAATGCATTAAAAGTTCGCTAATTGAATGCTTTAGCCATGCTGTGTTTAGAATTTTAGTTGAGTGAGCTAGTTAGAACGAGTTGATTGGTTTAGCGTGGTGTAAAGCTTCACGACAAACAACCATGGGATTGTTGACCATGCCGATAATTTGGTCACACAACTTACTTCCCAAGCCACTCATTTGATCTCGTTGCCTCTAAGCTTCGAGGACGAAGCTTCTTTTTAGGGGAAGATAGTGTAACACACCGTAATTTCACGCTCTAAACCCGAATTAATTATTTAAATTAATTCGTAAGTCCTCTATCGGTACCTTAATAGATTCCGTTAAGAATGGGTAAAAGAAATTAATGTAGCCCAGGATCCCTTAATTAATTAATGTGGTCCATGATCGACCGTGGACCCTTGTCTACATTAAAGCCTTAAGCCTGTTAGGATAAAGAAAGAAGGCCAATTATTAATCAGATTCTGATTGGGAATCCTAAACCTATTTAAAGGGAATTAGAAAGCATATAAAACCCTTTCCTCCCTCTTTCACTCGAAATTCCCCCTAGACCTAGCCAAAAGAACCCCATCCCGTCCGCTAGTGA